GTTGGTAGATCATGTGATAAGTCCCCCTAAATTTTCAGTGATTTATAAGGTAAATGGATGTAAAATTGCCATCCCAGATTTAGACATTTTTTCATATCTTGATGTACCAGGCTTTAGGCGCACCTTTTTGTGAACTTTCGTGCATTTTCACTTCGGACACGATATCTCTATCCCGTTATTGGATTCGAATGAAACAACCGAAGTAAAGATGCACGAAAAATAAAGAGGTTTACCATATGAGTAAGTCATTCTAGGATACAAAAAAAAATCTGCATAGTGAATGATCATAAATAATATAAATAAGTTAATATATTTTCCGGCACTTCGCTCCGGACTGCTGCGCCAAGTGATATACACTATTATTGATCAAAACAAAAAATATAAATCAAAGTCTGCCAGTTTATTTGTTATTTAAAACTCAACTTTTTATAAAAAAGTTTCCAATGGACCAACACAATATAAATGATTTTTTGAACATTATAAATAATGATTCTTTGAACATTAGCGCTAATTCACCAGCAACTACAACAACTTCGACAACAAACACAGCCATTACCAATGTTAATGCAACTATAGAGATACCAACCGACGAAGGTTACAATGACGGTTATGAAGAACCAAAACAAAAAATAGAAATTCCCACGTGGATTACTCAGCTATCTGAAGAACAGAGAGCCGGTAAGTTTTTTAATAAGCAAAGGAGTTTTTTTTGGCTTGCGAATGGATAAGAATTCAGAAATGTTTCATTGTGAGTGCAATAGAACGTTGAACGAATTAACTATAGAAATAGGATGATGATGAATGTTCTTATTCATAAGAAACAATTCTCGGATCAAAATGGACATGTGTTATCTCCTATATTTTATTTTTTTCTTACATAATTATTTTTATTAAGTGATAACTTTCATAATTAAACAAAAATCATGACGTTTATATTTAAAAATCAAACAAAATACATCTTTAGAATTTACATTTCAACTACTATTAACATTACCAACTACAAAACTTGCACAACTACACGCTCGATTATCGCCGTTACTGCATAGAGATTTTTTATCGGTATGCTCTGTATATATTATAGACTAATAAACAGCTTTAACTGTTGCTGATATAGGGATTTGTGTGATTTTTATATACATCAAAGAAATAATATTAACTTTCTATTTACTTATTAATGCCCAATTAATTTTTCTATATATATATTTTTTTAATGACCAAACAGCTCCTACCATTCGAACTTGCCCTCCATATCCTCTCATTCCTTGATTCACAGACGCTAGGACGTGCAGCTTGTGTCTCGAAGAAATGGCAAAAAGTTTGTTCAGATGGATTCGTGTGGCGTGATTTATATTATAAGAATGGATGGACCGTTAATCAGAGAATGATTGATTGGTATATCTCTAGCAATAGCAATAATTACAACAATGACATTGACAATAATCCCAATAATAAAAATAGAAAGAATAAGAATAAAGGCAAGGCAAATAGCAATATTAATAGTAACATATACCCTGACTCATCTATGGGAACAAACAATACAATACTAAATGATGATATACTAAATAATAATATGAGCGGCAATGAAGAACATGAGTACGATAATCATAATACAGAAGAAATGGATCCTACTGATAACGAGGATGACGACTCAGTAAATGATTACGAAGAAGAAAATGATTATAATGAAAATGACAATGACGATGATGAGAATGAGAATGATAATGATAATGAAGAGGAAGATTATGAAATGGGGGATATTCAAGAAGAACCATCAAATATTGTTGCTGCACCTTCTAGTCCTCAAGATCCACAATCTCCATTATCGGTTTTTTACCCTATCAGGAATAATAATAACAGAATAATAGGTTGGCATACTTAAGGTGAATCTATTAATTATTACTAACATATTAATGACTTGATTTCAATGTAATCACAGAATCTTCTACAGCGGGTCCATCTTCGCCAGTGACTGCAGCTAAAAGAAGATGGAAGTCTAATAATAGAGGAGGTCGTAAACCTGCATCGATATCAAACCCCACGTTTTCAAGCTCATCCACTTCAAATGGATTTGGATTTTTTTCCGATAACAATGGGGGTAATATATAATATATAATATATTTCTAAATACAAGTGACTAACGAAAATTTTCAAAAATTTACTACCCTAAGAAATTTACTATATCGAGAGGATTTAATATAGACATTTTGAGCTCAAATATACTATATCAAGAGTTTAATTAGTCTTTATTATATCGGGAGTTTAATTAGTCTTTACTATAACGAGAGTCACTTGTATTCTTATATTTCGCCGTTAAATCAATAATGTAATAACAAATTATTTTGCTGCTGTTAGCATATATTCCTCACCAAAACGAATTAGGTGAACCTTTTATAAACTGGAAACATCTGTACCATCAAAGAACAATATTAGAAAATAACTGGCGACAAGGTAACTATATTACCCGCGAATTACCCGGACACACTGAAGGAATTTATTGTGTACAATTTGACGAGAATAAAATAATAAGTGGTAGCCGTGACGATACTATTAAAATCTGGGACATCAAATCCGGCTATTGTATGCGAACCTATAGTGGACATCGTGCATCTGTTTTGTGTCTGCAGTACGATGATAATATTATTGTGAGCGGTAGTAGTGATGCGACTATTATTGTTTGGGATTTGGCCACCGGGGAAAAGCTACGTACTTTACGTGGACATTCAGAAAGTGTTCTTAATTTAAGGTTTGATGATAAGTATATTGTGAGTTGCTCGAAGGACCGTTCTGTTAGAATATGGCAGCGGAATACTGGCACTTGTATAGGTAAATTGACCGGTCACCGAGCCGCAGTAAACGCAGTGCAGTTTCAAGATAATTATGTAGTTTCCGCATCGGGTGACCGAACCATAAAACTATGGTCACGAGAAACCACTCAGTGTCTTCGCACATTTGAAGGCCATTTGCGTGGTATCGCCTGTATACAATTTGACGGCAATATCATCGTGTCTGGCTCAAGCGATAAAACCATCAAAATATTTGACGTACACACGGGCGTCTGTCTAAAAACCCTTAAAGGTCATACGGATCTCGTAAGAACTTTGCAGTTCGATGGAAATCGTATCGTCAGTGGAAGCTATGATGAGACGTTACGTGTCTGGGATTTGCGAACGGGTGAGATGGTGAAAAATTTGAGGGATGGGCATACTAGTCGGTATGTACATTTTTATTTATATTGTTTTGTTTGAGATTGTTCAATACTAAATTCTTTCATTTTTTATAGTGTCTTCAAACTACAGTTTAATGATTCAAAGATAGTCAGTTGTTCTCAAGATCAAAAAATTATTGTATGGGATTTCGCATATAACGTAGATAAAACTTTTCTTGTCTAGAATATTGTTATGTTACATTATAATTACAAACAGTTATAATAGTAATAGTAATAGCTAATTTTTTATTATACATACACATAGCGACAGTGTTGGGACAATTACAATGTCATCAATTCTAATAATAGTGATGACATAAATTATTTTGTCATAGTTATTTAATATCTTTTTTGTCATCTGTCATTTATATAATTAGCCAATAATAAACAAGTAAGAATAATAATGACAATGTTATAAGACGGTGCTAAGTCAGGTGATCATTTCGGCCAGTGTTGAAATTTAATTAGCAAGATATAAATATCTTTGTTATAAAAAATATAATTAATATAAGATAATAAATATATATTTATTTAATATTAATTTTAAATAGTTTTTTATTTAACTTTTTATAATTTATATATAATTAAAACTTTTTATTTTTTTTCTTTATAATTATAATTAAAATTAATTATGAATTTTTCAATAATAAAATAATCTTTTTATTTAATATATGATGTGCCCAGCTTAGTCACATCAAATACTTTGAACCATATAGGCTTTGCATCCAAATATGTAATTACAAAAAAAAATACATAGTTAGATAGCTCTTAATAATGTCTATAATTCTATGTATTTTTTTTTATAAAATGTATTAATAAATTTGTGAGCAGTTAGAATTTTAAAAATGACACTTTAATAATTATTGGCATATCCAAGTTGGAATTTCAGTGATCACATATATCACGTGAAAAGATTATTATTAGTTTATTTAATAATACATGACTAATATGAGTTATCACTCAAAGATCAATATTAATTAAAAAAATAATAAATCAATAACTCCAAGCAAGAGCAATGATAAATCAGTGATCCCAAGTTCTATAAAAAAGCTTGGATAACACACTTCCAATACTTATTAAACTCTTATTTCTTTTAATCATAATAAACTATCTGATAAACCCCTATTCTGTTATCTAAAGATCAATATTAAAAAAAAATAATAAATTGATAACTCCAAGAGTAATGATAAATTAGCAATTCCAAGCTCTATAAAAGAGCTTGGATAACACCCTTCAATGCTCATTATACTCTTATTCCTCTTAATAACCAACTACCTGATCAACACCTTTTCTTACAGACTTTAATAACACCCTCCAATACTTATTAAATTCTTATTCCTCTTAATAATCAATCTACAGACTTATTATAAATGACTAAACTCTTCTAAAACACTTGCTAAAACTTGGTAATAGGATCAGTATTTTCTTACTACAAAAACTGCAGCTTTTCCAGAAAGACCATACTTATATGCACTCATATAGTGAGCAGATCAGTGTGCAAAATGGTAAATCTTGATTAGAGTAACAGACTCTAATACATGTGAAACAATATTTTTAAGACTTTGAAAGATGTAATCACAATGTAATTGTAAATATCATTTTGCTTCCATCCAGAATAACTCAATGAAATTGAGTTCACAATGAAATTTTAGATAGAAGATACACATATGACTAGCTACTTTGATCATCTCCTGTAAATGGCTTTTCTGTGATGTAAAGTCAGACTGACAGCTAAGAATTTATATAGTATAACATTCCAAGTTCGCAAGATCTGATATATGAGATTTGCATATGTCATATTACTTCACTAGACCCTCTTTTCATAATCTATACTCTTGAAGAATATGCTGAATACCCTTTACTTTGGTAATATTATTAATATCTATAAATATCAGATTATGAGAAGAATCATCAGGTATCAGGCCATTATGAAGAAGTGGTTATTTTTCTCTATCCTTCATATTTATATGCGAAACTATCAGAGTATCATTAACAAAAGTGGTATGATTATAGCTATTATCAAACATGAAAAGTATGACTTTTCCAGAGTGTGTTCATTCAAAAATTAGGATAACTCTTTCAGTCACTTGTTTTATGACATCCTGATTTATCTACCAACCATCATGATTTGTACTGGGATAAATAATAACACAAGTCTCTGTGTGTAAAAGATGTTCATTATCAGGAAGTAGATCATTTGCTACTTGTTCTTCTGGCAAAAGATGAAGATATCTTATTGATTTGCAAATGAAATTGCTTATATGAATACTAAGACCCTGTGATTTTTGTCAAATTTGATTTTCACCAGCAGAACCCCAAGTAGTAACAATACCATCATTAGCATAGAAAACAGACTCATCATGAGTTACTGAAATAATTTCAGAAATATTTGGTGGAAGTATTAGTGAGATAATTTGATCTATATCCTCACTTGCATAAACTAAAAACTGAGATCATAGACTAGCTATTTGTTCTAAAAAGTATTTCTGATAGACCACTACATCATCTCGCTCATATCTATCAAAAAAGATACTTTTTGAGTGATCTTTGTAATTCTAGCTGAAATAACGCAGCCATATCTGAGCCATTTCCCTATAAATAATTTTCTTCCTCTTGATCCCAAAAGCTAGAATAGCTTTTTTCTTCACAAACTTTGTAAATTGATGGATGGTTATTTTAAACTTATTAGCCCATAAATACTCTGTAATATTTAACTTAAGATCTTCATATAATAAGAGTGACCAAATTTTTACATAATTATCATAACATGATATAGAAAGTTGACTATTGCATAACTATTAACTTGTCCATAAATGAATAATATGCGTATATCATGAACTCTTATTAATACTTAAAGAAAGAAGCTCGCTAGCTTTCAGTTTGGAAAATTCTCAGTTTTTAATCAAGTGAAGAAATTAACTCACCACATAAAGTTGCATATTATCTGGCTTTCTCTTTAATAGTGTATCAAGCAATTCCAAAGTAAACTCATTATTATTTTTAAAGTTAACTATCTCATCATACAAGAGCTCATCATTGGTATTTGTTAAAATTTGAGTTGCTAGAAATCAATTTGTAATTTTGCTAGTATCTAATGCTGTCTTTTTCCAAGCTGTTCTCTTATTTCACAAGGTTGATTTAGCAAAGCCAGTATAGGTAGATTTTTATTTTTTTGTATCTGGTTATTTTGCTTTAAGGAGTTTTTCAAACCAATCTGGCTTTAATTATTCAAATTCTTCTACAAATTGATTATCATTCAAAGATTTATTTTTACTACTGATCTATAAAGTATCAAAGTCATTTTCACTACTGGCCCATAAAGTACTGAAGTTATTTTTTCTACTAGTTAATAAATCATTGAAGGATCTTTTATTATATTTAATATCATTCTAGTGTTTTTTAATAGCTGAGATACAGTATCAAGCACATTTACTTCTTTTTGACATTGATATTAATTATTTGCAATAAAAAAAGATTTTAACAAAAGTATACAGAGTTTGAATTACCCACTACCAGTAATACCTAACAAACAAATGGACCCATGGCACATAAATATGATATAGAGAAAAAAAAAATACAAGGCTAAAAGTTATGCATAAAAGCAAAGATAGAGGGTGTAATATGCATGCTTTCAATAATATGTATGCTTTCACATAATAATAATAGGAGCCACATATATTATAAAATATTTAATAAATCAATTTATTTTTAGAATTTACATGACTATATATTATATGCAATTCTATTGGTAGTATTGGATTATATGCTATATTATATTGTATACTAAAATTTTAGTGGTGGTGTAATATTTGATGTGACTAAGCTGGACACATTATATTTTAAATTTTTTTTTCAAAAAATTATTTTTTAAAGATAATTTATAATAATAAAATTTTAGAATAATTAATTAATTATTAGTTAATAAAATTTTATATTGAATAATATTAGCTTTTTCTAAAATAATAAATTAAAAAAATTTTTATAATTATTCAAAATTTTTTAGAATTATTATTTTTATAATTATTTAAATTTATTTTAATTAAAATTTTATTTATTTAATTTAAATTTTAATAATAAATATAGATTATTATTTTTATTAACTAAATTATAATTATAATTTAAATTATTTTTAATATTATTTTATTAATAAAAAGTAATTTTAATTCTTGAAATAATTATTTTTTTATGTATTTTTTTATATTAATAAAATATACTTTTTTAATAATAATAATATTTAAATTTATTTTAATTAAATTTATTTTTAATTTCTTTTTATAAATAGGTTTATAATTATAAATTCTTGAATTTAAGTAATCTTCAAGAATAAGTAATCTTTTCTTCAAGTTTAAAAGTCTTAAAAAAGTTAAATAAATAACTTCTTTATCAAAAATTATTATATAATAGATTAACATAAAATTTACAATATAAAAATTTGAATTTAAGAAGATAAAGATATTTAAAATTTTTATATTAATTAATTTGATTTATATAATATTATAATATATAATTTAATATTATATATAAAACTCTCAAATTTAAGTAATTTCTATAAAAAATTGATCAAAAAATAATAATATAAAGAATTATTTAAATTTGAGAATTTATAATATATAGTTTTTATATAATAAGAATTTTAATTTTTTTAAATAATAGTTATTTATAAGTTTTTTTTCTTTATATTTCTTTTTTTTATTTAAATAATAATTTTTTTTATTAAATAAAATTTTTAAAATTATTTTTAACTTTTATTATTATTATTATGATTTAATATAAAAAAATTAGTATATTAGATAAATATTAATAAATTATTTTTTAAAATAAAATTTTAATTTTGTCTTATTTAATCAAATTATTAAGAAAATACTATTTATTATATAATATTAATATTAAATAAGAAATTTTTAATAAATATCAGATCTAAATATTAATTATTAATTATTTGATTAATTAATTAAAATATATAATATTAGTAAGTAATCATATAATTATTAATTATTTAATTAATTAATTAAGTCATATGATATTAATAGATTTCTTATAATATATTAATTTTTTCTTTTTTTTTTACTTTTTTCTTTTTCTTTTTCTTCTTCTTATTCTTCTTTTCTTTCTTATTTTTACTCTTATTCTTATTTTCATTTTCATTTTCATTTTCATTTTCATTTTCTTTCTTTTTATTTTTTC